ACTGAATCATCATAAATAGCCATCTGAGCCCGGATACAGGGATCCAATCCCTGCCTGTAAGCGCTGAGAAGAGCTGTCTCATTCCATCCGCTGGTCGCCGCCAGTGTTCGAAACTGCAGCGTGTAATCGTTGGTGGAAGAAGAGCCCTGACGCCTGCAGGAGTTGGTCAGACACGGAGAGCATTCCTGTAGCGAAGACAAACACTTCCTTGAAATGGTTAGAGAAAGCTTAATAGGAATTAATTATGGCACTGTTGGCGTTCCATATATCTTTAGCCCACACCAGCGCTCTACCAGAGAGGAGTGAAATAAGGAAGGTTACCTTAGCACGTTCCGTCGTGAATTTCTGTGGCTGCATCTCAATGAAGAGCGCTACTTGCAGGAGGAAGCCGCCACACCCAGCTGTGTCACCCCCATAGGAAGCAGGCATGGCCATGGGACTGGCAGAGGCAGATTAAGGAGCAGTGACTGGCATGAGAGAGGCCCGAAGGGTGTTCACCAGTTCCTCGAGGACCTCTGCGGGAGTGGGAGGCCGGGGATCTATAGAGGTGAATGTTATAGGTCCGGTCTTCTGTCACAGATCAAGCCAGAGACAACAGGTAAGTGGATAAACAGGTATGGTTTATTTTGCATCCCGATGATCGTCAGAGATTGCTGGCCAGCAACGAGGAAACACAGAGTAGGAGGATCGTCGGAGGATCATTAGAGGATCTAGGGAATAGTATAAACAGGTAAGTAGCATACAAGGAGTCTGGTATAGTTCATGATGTGAACGGTAGACCGGACAATGAGTGACTGTGAGGAGCGTGTTCTTGAAAGTGACTTGATTGGAGACGGCAGGTGCAGGTGATCAGAATTCAGGTGAGTATGATCTGGTGTGAGTGGTGGCTGATGATTGAAGCAGTGACTGCGTGGATTCGCTGAAAGTATAATGTTTCAATCATATTTTCTGACCAGAAAACGTCTTATTTTCTTTATACATAACATACCAGTACAAACAATCCAATCCAGTACAAAAAAAATTGTACTATGTACAAATAAATAAATGAATGAATAAACCAATCAATCAATCAATTAATTAATAGTAATGAATAAATAAATAAATGAACAAACAAAGATAACACTGTAATGCACCACAGGGTAGGCAAGTCACAATTCAAGCATGGATCTAGTATCAGTTATCCTTTGAAGCAACAATCTGAATAATATTCTCCCACATATTTAGCTAACATTTTTTCATACGATACATTCTCAATCATAAATTCAATCCACATTTTAAGTGTAGGACATTGAGTATCTTTCCAAAATCTCAGTGTCAGACGTACTGTTGTGACTACACCCACAGTAATAAGGGAAAACTCATTATCTTTAATCTGAGGAATCTCAGATTTATCTCCTAAAAGACAAATCCTGGGTGAAAGTGAAATGTCAAATCCCGAACATCTTCCTAGATATTTTAACAAAATTTTCCAAAAAGGTTGAATCTTTGAACATTGCCAAAGAGCATGAATGTATGTGCCAGTTTCTTCTTTACATTCCCAGCATTTATTATCATTCAGACAACCCATTCTAAAAAGTCGAACTGGTGTGTAGTAATACCTATGTAATACCTTATACTGGATAAATTTACCTCTTGCTTCCTTTATGTACTTTCCACTGTAGGTGTATCCAATAAGTGTCTTTATCTATGTCACTAATGTCTCTTTGCCAAATCAATCTCAGGTTTTCGCAATTCTTGTCATCAATCTTTAAACAGAGTTGATCAGATTTAGATGTTTTTTATAGGTACCTTGGTAGTTCACAAAATTTTTCTAAAACATTCTTGTTTTGTTCCATAGAAACCTTTGCCCGCAAAGCAGTGTCTAATTTGTAAATATTTCCAGAAATGATCCTGGCCTTCTAACTGAATTTTTTCTTTCAAATGATTATAAGACAAAAGCTTGTCTTATAATAATTTGGGGAAAAGGGGAAGTAAGTTGTCATACTATTAATACCCAATCTAAACTACATGCAAGCTTAGACTTACAATTATATAATGGGGCATAATTTAAGCACATGTATACACAGCAAATCACAATCACAACCACAAGTAAGTCAGGGTTTCTTTTCAAATTAATACCATATGAGCGGGGTAGGGCAATTTCTATAGTACCATATTAAACTGTAAAATTACTGTAAAAAGCATAACTTACAGTTCTGATACAAGTTTTCACAAAAACAAAAAGTTTTATAAAATGATAAACTTGACATTTCAGCCTTTAAAACATTTGTAAGAAAATAGATGAGTCAAAAGTATTAATTATTATATTAATTTAACCAATTACTATCAATAAATTATTTTATCAATTAAAAAACATAAATTAGGGGTGTGCGATATTGCCAAAAAATGTATCTCGATAATTTTAATGAAAAGGTACCTTAAATGTGAAATTAAAACTGCCAGTAGGTGGGCAGCAAGTCACTGTTAAGTGAGTCATTGCGATTAAACCTAATTATTTAAACGGTTGATTGATTCATTCAGGAATGAAACTGTCATGTTGCTCAGAGACGCAAAACAGCACTGTGGCTCTGTTTGGAATTATTTTTGTTGGAGAAATAGAGCAAAAACAGGAAATATGGTGTCTAAAACGTACGTCTCTTAATATTAACTTCTTGTTTATTGAAATGCTGTATAAAATCAATATCACATTTGTAATCATACTGACTTTTGGAGAAAAAACGGCACTCTTCGAGCTCTTCCTTCGAGTTGCCAAACGACAGCCAAGAAACCTTATGGATTTAGAGAGGATCTGTAAAGAGGAGTGGATCAAAATCCCTCCTGAGGTTTCTGCACCAAGTACTAAGTCATGTTTTGCTTGGGGATCAAATACTTCTTTCACTCACTGAAATACAAATCAATTCCTAACCTTTAATACACGAGTTTCACAATTTGAGTTGAATTACTGAAATAAATGAACTTTTTCACGACATTCTAATTTATTGAGATGCACCTGTAATCTGTTTTTTTTTCTGGATTTTTTTGGTTGGTATTCCGTCTCTGTACGTTAAAATAAACCTACCATAAAAATTATAGACCCTTTATTTCTGTGTAAGTGGGCAAACTTACAAAATCAGCAGGGGATCAAATAAATATTTCCCCTACTGTATATGAAATTATATAAATATAAATTTTCTGTGGAGCGTTTGGTAGAAATATAACTGTTTCCCCGGTAACTGCTGTACACAAAGCAGTGCAGCACCGGACTTTGAACTTGCAGCATTAAAATCAACTTATTTTTCCCTTAAAATGATACATTTTCTCAGTTTAAACATTTGATATGTCATCTATGTTGTATTCTGAATAAAATATTGAAATTTGAAACTTCCACATCATTGCATTCTGTTTTTATTCACAATTTGTACAGTGTCCCAACTTTTTTGGAATCGGGTTTGTACAATTTAAGACTTTTTAAGGCCTTAAATTTGATACAACTAATTTTAAGACCCGCGGAAACCCTGGTAAGTGGTTCATCATTGTCAGTAGCCTCCTGCATTCCAATAGTAACCGTCCTAAACAGTATGTTGAAATGAGTATCCCAAAGGATAGATGGCCTGGATGGTCTAACATTTCCATGGAAATTCTAAGTGCAGATCTATGCACACTATTGCCCAACACAACCCATTGTGCTTTGAAGGAGGAATCTGTTCAGAACCACAAACACAAATAAAAACTTTTTAAAAACTACAAACATGTTGGATATACAAGGCCAGTGGTTAAGTAGACAGGTGAAGGGGTTTGAGTGATTAATAATCAATCTAACCATGTTTGGCCATTAACTTTAAAATGTAAAAACATAAAGTGAATCTTTGTATGAAAAACCCACGACTGGCAGATCAAGTGCAACTTTTTTCCTCTTCCATATGGCAGGTAGAATTTTAGTGTAATTTAAATGGCTTGAAATGTGGAGTATGTATATGAGGACGTTAACTGTGATGTGATGATTGACAAGGCAGTCCAGGGAAGTAAATAGGTGACAGCATGGCCCATTAAAGACAAGGTAGTTTGTCACAAAACGTGCCTACTCTTCTGTTACACACTCAAAAGTGTGTACTTTTTCTTCACAATAAGAGTACATACTGTACTTTTGAAGGCATAGTATAAGTAGGCAAAATGGGATGCAGCAAGTGTCTCCTGTGTTAACAGTTTAGAAACATACCCTAACATACACAGATAGCCAGGCCCAGTTCTTGCCAGCTATAGAAAGGCTGGCATGGTAGCAAACATTTCCAGATTTAAATGACCGCAATGATGCCCGTGTAGCTTTTTCATTTTGGCTGGGACGATGCTTTTTTGTGGTAGAACACATACACTGCATGGCCAAAAAAAAAATTGTCATCTAGATTTAAGTAAGCAAAGAACTGCAGTGCTTAACATGTTTCTGGCATGAAGTATGTTGGGAGGCAATTCTTTTAACCCTAACTGATGCAGTGCATAGCTTTTCATTTCTCAAACAACCATGTCAGAAGACGTACCTGTTTTCATACTCTAGGATGACAATGCCAAGATTCATCAGGCTCAATTTGTGAGAGATTGGCCACCACAGAGTCCTGGCCTTAAATCCCATTGAAAGTCTTTGGGATGTGCTGGAGTTCACTTTACACTGCCTGTCCAAAAAAAAGTCGCACACTCATATTTAATTAGAACACCGCTAGTTTTGACAGGCATGTGCAGAGAGGGGTGATTTGGGGGCTCAAGCCCCTGCCCTTTTTCCAAAATGTACCAAAAGTGCCCCTCTCTCAACAATTAGTTCAAGACAAAACGTTCAAGAAATATTCCACATAAACTCTTTTGTTTGCTTTTGGGTATCACTTCTTTAAAACTATTAAAGTTGAATATAAGACCCGCTTAAATATAAATGTTTAATGCTTTAAATGTGTTTTGTTTTTAATTATTAATGTTTTAATCTTTTTTTTCACTTTTCACAAAATGCTCCTAACGTTGTGATGATTTATGGTCACCAGCCACAAGCCCTGTGAATGTGAGCGTGACTGTGGATGTCGTCCCTGTCGCTGGAAGTCTTGAGGTTACCTTGGCAACCTGTACAACTTCTAGAACGAAGCCTGCTGCCGAGGTGTCATGGAATTTGGGTGCTTTATCTGATTCTGTGAAGGTATCAACCAACACTGTGAAACATTTGGATGGGACGTTCACAGTCGCAAGCAGTCTGATTGCCACTCCAACTGCACAGATGAATCAACAACATGTCCAGTGTGTGATCAGACATGTTGCGATGAAAGAGGAACTGGAAGTTGATCACAAGATCATTGTGCACTGTAAGTGGCTTTATGACCCTTTATAAGGAAACCCAAATATTTCACAACCTTAGCGAGTTGTCATGTGTGCTTGTTACTGCAATGGTCATAAAACAGGTTTCAGCAGGTTCTCTGTCATTTAAAGGCCACTTCCTGCCTCAGCTTGTTGACAGTAATTGGTAATTAAAAGGGAAGTGCCATAAAAATGACAAAACCACAAACAGAGGCACTTTGGATAAGCATGTCTACTAAATTTAAGCAAAAATGCTATTAGTAGTTTTTAATGTGACAAAAGATTGTCAATTATTCATTTAGTATTTCCTTGTGTAAAATAAGTACACTTTAGCATACTTTTAAAAAGAGTTCTTATTACAAAAATAATAAAATTTAAAAGAATACACTTAAGTGTGAACTGAATGAAATATTTGCAGACACTTAACTGGATGTTATTTACAATTAAATAAAATGTATACTCAACTGTACACGTAATTTCTTAATTCTATTGTCTTTAAAATAGGGTTAAAGTGAATTGCTTACAAGCATCTACGTAATATATATATATATATATATATATACGTAAAATATATTATATATATGTCATATTATATATATATTACACACACACACACACACACACATATACATATACATATATATATATATATATATATATATATATATATATGTCATATTATATATATTACATATATTAAATATATGTAATTTCTATTTAGACTTGTAGGTCATGTATTTAAATATGTTTGCAATAATGCATTTGTATGAATAAAGTTGCAGTTTAGTGCACTTAAATATATTAACTTTAAATATAACAAGTGTTGATTTATCTGTTTAACCAGGAATTGGCACATGTATTTGATTTGTATTCGATTTATTTGATTATTGAATTGATTACACAAATGTATTGAGGCAAACGTCACTTTTCGCAGTTAGTGGATAAGTCATCTGAATTTGTTTAGATGGATTGGTATTAGCATATAAGTGATATAATTGCAGTCATATGTTTGTGTTTGTGTGTTTTAAAGATCCACCTCAGCTTGTCTTTGTGACACCTTTCAAGAATCTCTCTAATGCTGAGGTGTATCAGTGTCAGGCAGATGCCAATCCTTCAGCTACACACTTCAGCTGGCACAGGTATGAAAAAAATGAATAAAGGATATTTCATTATATTTCATAAAAAATTTGCAGGTTCTTCAAGATGTAACAACTGCAGATTCTTGCGCATCCCTAACATGCAATGCATGGCAATACATAAAGCAATAAAAGACACAAACAATAGGAAGTGTTTAAATAGCGAAAGGAATTGTATCCAAACATTTGGATATTAGTGGATTAGTTAGTAGGGCGTGAAAGCAGCACATCTCAGGAACTAGGCATAATTTGCTTCCTCAAAACAGAGCTGAGAGTGACCTATCAACATTAAGAGCAATGCATTGTGGTTCATTTGCATTTATTTGGTTTGCAGATGCGTTCTTCACAAACCGACGTATGGAATATGTGCATTATGTAAGTCAGCTTGTGAAGAACTCATCTGCAAAGTAAATAAATTACTGTTGTGACATTAACGTTTATGTACAGAACAACCTGAAAAAGTTTGCAAAACATACTAGGTTTTGTTTTCAAATTTAGGCCCTATACTCATTCTTTTGCCAGTCTGACTTTATATTCCTTGCTCTTGATCATGGAGTAGCACACACCAGACTATCCCTAACGATGCCATTAAAGCAGAAGGTAATAAACTCTACTTCTTGAAACTGACCTCTGACCTCAGTGGCCTGTATATCTGTGAGGCTTCAAACGAGTATGGTACAGGAATCGGCTCTCTCTACTGGCAAAAAGGTGAAAAGTGAAAGCTTTTTGCATGTTTTGATGAAGGAAGATACAGCAGTTTGTTTAGACAACAGTGTTTATCATGTGTTATCTCTTTTCTAGGAGAAAAGACAGAAGACTATCATTCTGAGCTCTGAGTCCTTTATACTAGATGCAATTTCATATTTTCTCAGTGTCATCAAAGTCCCTTTAAGGAAATTCAGGAATAAAAGCTGGCAACAATTATATTATGCTTCTTAAACTCAAATCACACTAAAATCTATATTTTTCAGGAAGGCCAAGATAGTGCACATGAACATTGTAGAGTAAACAAACAGCTGCTTTTTTAATTTACAGTGCATATGTCAACAAGGTGACTTTTAACTGAAAGGAATGATAACATTGCCATATTAAGCATTATGCTTTCTCCCATCTATGTATGAGTGGACCATCTGCCTTGCATAGTCCCTGAACATTATATTTTATTACATTATTTGTTGCCGGCGAAATTTTTAATACAATACAACAATATATTTATCATATTTATATTAGCAGGTATAGAAAAATATGAATTTCAGAATGCCTTAGTTTGTGGGTTGTTAAACATAATTTTTATTTGTCATTATGAAACATTGACAAACATTAACAGACAAACAGTCAGAACAACTTCATGGGTGCAATTATTGGTCTCCTTGATTTTAGGTAGGAAAAAATATATTTGTAAAACTAAAATTAAACTAGAGTAAAATAAAAGTTATGCCTGAATAGAAGTCAAATGGGTTGCGATATGAGTATACTGTATATGTATTCACATATTTACATACTTTTACGTACGTATACTTATATATTCATTTATACATAGCTAGACATATAATTATCAATCAAAGTGTATCCAAATATTCATACACGCATTTGTACGCTTAGATAGGTATGAGTACACATAACCCCTTCCCCCATTCATAAACATATGTCCCTCTCCTCACTTTGTTTTGAATTGTACATAATCCATTTTCGCCAGTGTCTTTCAAAAGTCTCTCCTTGCATTCTCAGTTTAAATGTCAGTCTTTCCATATTCTATATTTCTGTCACAATCTGTTCCCACTGTATTTTCATTGGGGCAATTTGCTGAAGCCATAGATGGCCATCTAAGCCTTTTTTTTTTTTTTTTGCTGCTTTTTTTGGGATCCTCAG